AGAGAGAGAGAGAGAGAGTAGAGAGAGAGAGAGAGAGAGAGAGAGAGAGAGAGAGAGAGAGAGAGAGAGAGAGAGAGACGCCCGGACGGCGGAGAGAGAGTGGCATGAATTTTTATGAGCTTAGGAAATTAATTTGTGTTTTTCGCTAAGCCCCGGCTTAGCGCCGCGGTAATTAATTGCGCTGATTGCTCTGCATCATTGATGAGCGGTTCCGGCCGCTTCGTAACGTCTGCTCCCACCTCGCGTCTCGTTGTATGCGCGCGTATCCGACCGATGCCTTTATTTATCGGCGCTTCACTTTTCGATCCTTCACTTTTCGATCGCGTTGCGCGCGCGATCGCAGTTAACCACGAGTTTCCCCGAACATTTTTAATCAACATATCCCTTGTCTGCCTTGCGCGATTGGCAGACGGCGGTAAAAAAACGAAACGCGCGTGCTGAGCTCGTACGAAAATACTCGACCGAAAATAATATCATTATATATTAATGGATTTCTGCTGAAACGCCAAATCGATTATCGAATATGCCAATGCTGCAAGCCTTCTTTAACGAATTCGCTTATTGATAGATTGAGGAAAAAAAAAACGCAAAAAGATGTAGAGACGAAAAATTTAATTATCGCACTTGCTAAATGAAATTGTATTAATTGTATTAAGAATTGGGGGGCGCGAGATATTTCGCACAATCCTTCTTTTACGCTAACGTAAAGTTACCGCGAAAAAACGAGGAATTATGTTGATCATTTTATTTTGCAATAACGCTTGCTGTATAAATTTGAAAATTCCGCGAGATTGTCAGTAACTCACAAGTTTCTGGAAGTTACCGAGTTTCGCAAACCCTAGTCAAGCACAGTCAAATATGCGGAGTACCGAACTAAGTTCTCCTGGAACTTCGCAAATTCGAATCTATCAAGAATTAAAAGGCGAAACTTCGCCGAACTCGTCCTTTCAAAGTGAAAACATTTTCTTTCTATCGACACACATACGCACAATTACATATTATTTATAATTATAAATTATAATAATATATTATATAATACAGCTAATAAAAATTAATGCAAAATATATTCTTAACCATATTCATTAACATTTATTGACTTATCGTTAAAACATTTTAATTAATTTTCACTTGTATCGTCAACGCTATTTTTCTAAATTCTCGCAAGGAAGTTAATATTTGCACGAATTAGAAACGATTTTCCGATTATTTTCGGAACGATATTTTATAACGTATTGAACGTAGGCGTAAAACGGCTATTTTGCAATTTCTCCCGGATTTATTACAGATACTAGTTATTCCGCCTATCATCCAGCACTGCACGGAGTTGGCGAGGATTCCTTCGTGCGGAGGAAACAGCGGCGAAACAGGACAACTTTCACCCTCCAGCAACTGGAGGAACTCGAGTCCGCCTTCGCGCAGACTCACTACCCGGACGTCTTTACGAGGGAAGATCTAGCCATGAAGATTAATCTCACGGAAGCGAGAGTGCAGGTGAATATGTCAATAATACCCGTAGAAATCTCTCTTATCGTCGGACTTAGCCCTTACAATCCTAATCCAATTATATTATATTTTTTAAACAAATATATATATATATATATGTAGATTGAGATGAAACGAAAAATAGGTATTTCCGGCATTACTCGATTAGGCAATATTTTTAACGCTTGTCAATCTTTTAACTTTTTTAAATTTATTAAATTTATTAAATTCAAGAAACATGTAGTTCACTTTCCTTACTTTCCTATTTTTTTAAGTCTCGCGTCTCTAAAAAAATCTGATTAAGTCTTTCTCTCAAGTTATAAACAATTTTTCAAATATAGACAGCCGCGTGTGTTGAATTTATTATTAACTTATAATTATTTACCTCGTTCACTTTTATTTCGTCAGTATTTCTCATAAAGTATCTTATACCGCATGTAACGTAATAATATTCGTAATCGGATTAAATTATAAAAAGGATCTATTAGAATAAGGGAGATGCGAATAAATTTATGCCGGAAATGCGGTGCATTATATTTAAGGATATATTAAAACAGGTTACTTGAAAGTATGTTAATCACGTTGTATAATCACGTTTATTCGATAACGTGAAAGCACGTGCATTAAAACTTCACAGAATGTTCGCATCCGCTCGCGTCCGAGCATCGGCAGCGGCGAGCTTAATCTTTTAATGCGTCTCAGCGCATTGAGATTGGATTCCGCGTTTTAATGCGATGAGAAAATTACGCGCGGCAACGCCCGGTAATTTTTTGTCCGCCTTCCGTAGCGTTAAGTAGAGAAATTCCGGGAACATTTTTCGCGCGCCATATACGCGCTTTTGGCGTAATATTTCGGCGGAGCGCACAATAGAATGTGCTACCCGCCTACGTATCCATTAGTATCCAAATGATTATATCGCGAAAAATACGCGCAAACCGGATTTCGCGATCCAAAGCGAAATTTCGACTAAATTTTTTTTTTTTTTTTTTATTATTTTTTCTCTTCGCCGTCGT